CTGGTCTAGAGAAATCCATGCCCTTTCCTGAGTCCCCACCTGGGAGAGGTGCCCCTGCAGCCACCAGCTGTCCTGCAAACCATATGCTGATTGTGCCACCTCTCACCAGAGCCATTCAGGTAAACGGCATTTGATTGGTATCAATAAATGTGTGTTGGCTTGAAATACAAGGTCGCACCTGTTTCTGGTCTATTGACCTCTTGCTTCAATTAGGCTGTGGCCAGGATGGGCATGTATGTGAAAGGTCCTGCAGCTTCTATGTCCTTGCCAGAGATGCAGTAGGCTTCCTGTCACTTCAGTTGACATAGCCACCTAGCAGTGTCCACAGAGGGAGTATGATGCAGAGGTTAGAGGCACAGACTTTTATGTCAGAAGCATCCTGGTTCAGGTCCTAGCCCTGCAACTTACTGTATGACCTTGGGAAAGATACTTAACCTAAATTTCAGTTTGCTCTTTTTTTGGGGATGGGGAGGTGGGGAGCACCACCCAGCAAATCTGCTTCTGAATTTGTGGTCCACAAAAACTGTGAGCAGGGCTGGGGTTGTGGCTCAGAGGTAGAGTGCTTGCCTAGCATGCACGTAGCACTGGGTTCGATCCCCAGCACCACATAAAAATAAAATAAAGGTATTGTGACTACCTACAACTAAAATAAATATTAAAACAAAAACAAAACTGTGAGCAGCTGGGCAAGTGGTGCACACCTATAATCCCAGTAACTCAGGGGGCTGAGGCCGGAGGATCACAAGTTTGAGGCCAACCTCAGCAATTTAGCAAGATACTCAAAATAGTCTGGGAATGTAGCTCAGTGGAAAAGGTCCCCTGAGTTCAATTCCCAGTACTGGAAAAAATACATAAATAAAAAATCTTTCTCGGCATAACACCCAATTTATTTATTTATAAATTTTTTGACACTGGGAATTGAAACCAGGGTCACTTTACCACTGAGTCACATCCCCAGCCTTTTTTATTTTGAGACAGGGTCTCACTAAGTTGCCCAGGCTGGCCAAGGAATTTGGGATCCTTCAGGTTCAGTCTCCCTGATCACTAGGATTCCAGATATGGGCCACTGTGCCTGGCTCTGGGACATGTATTTATCATACATTTTTCTAATTTATTTCTTATGTCTCCTCCACAAAGACATCCTCCATAAGAGCAGGAGGTACTGTCTATTTTGTTCATTGTTGTATCCCCAATTCCTGGCATGTAGTAGGTACTTAATAAATACTAAAGTATGGACCTCAGTGAAGTAGGACCCAATACACAGATGGAGTGGAGCTGGGGAATCTGCGTTCAGGAAGGCACCCCAGGTACAGCGCCTCAGAATGTGGGCAGACAAGAAGCTGTGAACATCATACAAAATCTAGCCCTCTCCTTTCACCCAAGACAGACCAGTGCCAGAGTGGGGAGCCTCCGCCCAAGGTCACGGTGGGGGAGGAAGCTCTAGCACCTGGGTGCAGGGCTCTCTGCAGATGCTGCCAGAGCCCGGGCAGCTAGGACGCGGGCCGACTGAGATGGGGACTGCTGAGTCACTGGAACCTGGCCCGAGGCGGGCGTGGCCACCAGGTCCGAGTGGGAGTGGACCTGCGCCCCCCTCCAGTTGACTGGGGCTGAGGCCGGAAGAGGGAGAGGCTGGCGGAGCTCCACCCGCCGCCCCGCAGGGAGCCCGTCTCCGGAACCGCCCTGGTGGCGGAGCGAAGGTCCGGCTTAGTTTAGAAAGTTGGTCACAGTCATCGAAATGGGTAGTCCACTAAGAAAGATGGGAAGGACATCAGTAACAAATGAGTTTAGATTAAACACAATTGCACTTTCGCGGGAGATGTAGTTCAGTGGTAGATGGCCGGTCTAGTGCTAGAGGTCCTGGGAGGGAGGGGCGGAGAAAGGAAAAATGTTCACATAAAATTCCACTTAGCCTTGTCATCCCAGCGGCTCGGGAGGCTGAGGCAGGAAGATCGTGAGTTCAAAGCCAGCCTCAGCAATTTAGCGAGGCCCTAAGCAACTCAGAAGACCCTGTCTCGAAATAAAATACAAAAAAGGGCTGGGGATGTGCTCAGTGGTTCAGCGCCCCTGTTTTTTAAAAAAGAAAACAACAACCCATCGCCATAAGTTTGAGGCCAGCCTGAGCAACTTGAGTGAGACCCCGTTTCAAAATATAAAAGGGCTGAGGATGTGCCTCAGGGTTAGAGGCTTGTCCAGCATGCTGCGGCCGGGTTTAATCCCCAGCACCAGGGTGGGGAAAGCAATAGGAAACTAGTGTGGAAGTCTTCCACTTTCACTCCAGGCACCGCGGTTCCTCTCCTCCCCTGCTTTGCCCCTGCTGTTGCCCCTGCTTGGGGCCATAGTTCCCTCCCAGCTCCTAAGAACAATGGCCTTTCATTTGGCCTGTCCTTAGCATTGACCTCCAGTGAGCTCCCACTGGACCTTGAAGGCAGGGCCTGACTTATCTTCCCCAGGGGCCCCATGACCAGCCATGGTCCACTGGAGCTGCAGCAGACCTGGGGCATCCTTATGTAAGATCCCCTACATCAGGAGGGGGTGCTGTGGAAGAGCAGGTGGCAGCTCCCCATGTATTATCGGGGGAACATTTCCAAGACTGCTTCCAAGTGGAAGAAGCAGAATGCTGCCATTTGTGTGAACACAGGGGGAAAAGAATATTTGTATAGAGATATAACTGACTATGTTTGGAAAGATGAAAAAGAGGTGTAGGATATACTTTCCTGGAACCGTCTGAACTTTGTAACATACTACGTGTCATTAAAAAATTAAGTTTTAATTTCTGGGCTGTATCACCAGAAAAGGATCCAGGACAGGGAGGGTAGGATGCAGGAATTCAAGTGGAAAGCTCTGTCTGCCAGCTTGGTCCAAGCCAGGAACTGGATTGTAGGGAGAGGCAGAGCAGAGACACAAAGAGGATTTGGAAGCATCAACTTAGCACTTAATCACAAAAATAAATAGAAAGCTTTCCAAGGGATGGTGAAGCCAGGTTTGGGAACCCACTGATTTAGTGTGACCTTGGTGGGTTTTTTTTCCTTTCTCCTTTGGAAAGAGGGAGAGCATCTTGCGAGGCACAGGTCAGTATCCAGAATGTATACTAATGATGACATGGCCTCCCAGCCTTGCTGGCTCTCCCCCATGGGGACATTTCTCTTAAGAGGTCTTTCTGACCCAGAGGGCAGGACAGGAAAACAGAGAAGAAAACACCATCTTTAATCAACCCACCTGCACAGAAACCAGGAGAGCACTCCTAGCCTTGCAAGGTCCCAATGAGAAGAGAAACTGGTCCCCTTGCAAAAACCAGCTTATAAAAACAAAAGGCTTCAAAGCACCAGTGGCTAGACCCGTAGAAAGAGGCCTGGGGGTGGGGGTGTAGGAGAAGTGAGGGCCGCAAGCAGGAGTGACCCACTGGCAGGGGGACAGCCCAGCCTGAAGGGGACTGTCCCTCTCTGGAGCTGTACCCACCAGCTGACTAGGCTGACCACCTGGGACCTCGGTGTCTATGGTGGCCAGTTACTCCTGGGGCTGGTGCTTGGCACAGCACTGCATAAGGGCTAGTGGGCAGGGTCACCCTCCTAGTGGGATCACAGAGGGAGGTGGGCACTGTAGACAGGCTCAGGTGTGTGCAACCGCCTCCCCTGTTTGGGCTTCCCTCCGGTCACCCTAGGTCTCCCTCCCATCCTTCTTCCCACCCAGGCTGCCATTTCACAGACTAAGAGGCTGATCCTCTTCTGTGGACTCACCAGCCAGCGCATAGAATGTGGGGGCCTCAGGGGTATCTGTGAGGGAGGTTGGAAAGAAAAGCTCTGCCTCTACTTGTCTCAGAAAGATGGGTGCAGGTCCTCCTCACGCCCCACCCCGATGATTCACGCCCCATTCTGTCCCTTCAGAGTGCCTTCTGGGCTTTTCAGGGGTAGTTTCTGGATGTTGTGGTGGTCACAAACGCTGGTAGTCTGTAAACACTAGTGGCTGGGCAGCGCCACCAATCCTCCTCCCAGCTGGAACCACGGGTCTTCTAGGTGGTGAGGTGAATGGAGCCATCAGGGGTTGGTGGGATTGCTGTGAGGGATGGGTTCCTGGGTGCAGACCTGGCCTGAGGGACCTGGAGGGAGGGGGGTGAGTTGCACCCCACTTTCCTGGAGGAGAGAGCTTTGAAGGTTTGCCAAGGGCCTGTAGATTGTGAGTCTAGAAAGCCTTCCCTGTAAGTCAGGTTGAATTCAGGGCTTGTGGCCATGTCCATCAGGTTCCCAACAATAGAACAAATGGGCATATTGCTTTAAGAGAGGCGCTGTGTGGAGGTGGAGTATCCAAGCTGGGAGGAGGCTTGGAAACAGAATCCAGAGACCAGACACTGGGTTTTGGAATCAGAAACTATAGTAAGTCCACTATGTTCAAGGCCTGGCTCCACCAAAAACCTAGCTGTGTGGCCTCAAGCAAACCACTTCACATCTCTGGGCCTTAATTTGCATGCCTACAAAATGGAATTTATAATCCCAACCTAACCCAGGGGATTGAGTTAAATGAGAAAATTAGAAGAGTCCATCTGCTAAGGATCGTTTTAATCACTGGAGATGAAGAAACCAAGACCCAGAGAGGGCAAGAGCTTTGCTAGATGTCACACAGGGTGTCAGTGATGGAGCTACGACTGGAAAGGAGGACTCCTGCTCCTAGTTCCCCCTAGCTTTCCCCAGGGCTGGTGAATGTGTGGTGAGGTGGGGTGAGCCTGTCTGTCCTGCTGTTTCTCTCTGGACAAGGGGCAAGATGCTGGGTGAAGGGTGAAAGGGAAAGGTTCAAGAAGGGAGGAAGGCCCCGGCGCACTCCAAGGCTAAGATAAAAAAAATACAAACCCGGCGATCCCCCTCCCCCGCCCCGCCCCTCCCGGCCCCACCCGGTAAGTCCGGGCTGAAGGGCCAGGGCCAAGTCCACTCCTCTGGCTGCAGATCCAGGCGGGACCGCGCAGGCTGCAGGCGGTGCGCGAGCCGCCAGGGGGCGCGCCTGCCCATGTTGGCGGGTGCTCGCGGCAGCCGTGGTCAGTCCAGCAGCTAAGGGCGCGGCGTCCTGGTGGGCGCGGGGCGGAAGCTACCCAGACCTGCAGGAAACAAAGGCGGGTTAGGGGAGGACGTAGGCGGACGGGGGAGCGTGGGGCGGGAAGATCCCCACTCCTCCGTCCCTTTCTTTCCCTGGCACTGACGTCCCAGTCCCTCCAGCCCACCCAGCCAGAGCCAGGACCCACGTGTACAGAGGCTGCAGTTGTAAATGCGACGTCTTCTGCGGGGCCTGGTATCCATAGGAGTCAAAGCCACCGATGAAGTCAACTGCAGGAGGGGAGAGGACAAGTTAGGAGGGGCTGGGTCCTGAAAGGGAAGGATCAGGGCACTACCCCCGGCTAGAGACTCGGGGAGGTGGGCGCTGAGGAGGTCCCGGGCCCTGGGGCCAGAATCCGAGGGAGGGGGAGCCTGCCCAGCAGGGGGTCAAGTCCCCGCAACTCTCCAGCCGGAGGCAGAGGTCCCATAGGAGAGAAGGCTCTTTGGGGCGAGACAATACCTCCTATGGGGTGGGGGCCAAACTGGGAAAGGGCGTGTTGGGGCCCTGGATCGGGCACCTGGACGTCTGGGGCTGAACCTAGAATGGGCTGCCTGTACACACCCCCACCCACCCCTCGGGCTCTTCAACATTTCGAAAGGGGGCCTTTGGCTGACCCTGCCTGCTCCCCCACCCCCGCCACGTCCAGTTCCAGGGGGGCCCTGTCCAGGGTGCTGAAAGGCTCAGCGCCCTGGGGCGCCCTACTCACAGCTGTCCTCCTCCTCCAGGAACACTTTGCTCACGTAGCAGGCGAACACGAAGCCAAACAGCTGGGGGAGGGGACCACACTTCAGACAGGATAGGGAAGCTTTTCCTTGAACCCCCAGCCGATCCAGGCCAACAAGTTCAAGTTAAATGCCTACGCTTAAAAGTCAAACATACCTGATCCCATTCTTCACTCTGGGAGGGCAACTTCAGGCAAGTAATTACCTCTTTGAGCCTCAGTTTTCCCAGTTAGACCTGGGAAATGCTTTAATGGCTTAAGAGGAAAGAGGATTATGTGACTGTGTGGGTGTAAAGTGCTTAGGACAGGGTTCCTACTATCTTGGAGCCCCTTATTCTCACAACTTTATTAGGTTGGTATTGTTTTTTGTTTTGTTTTGTTTTTGGTACTGGGGATTGATCCTCGGAGCACTTACCACTGAGCACATCCCTAGCCCATCCCCCACCCTTTTTAAAATTTTAAGACAGGATCTCACTAAGTGGCTGAGACTGGCCTCCAATTTATAATCCTCCTGCCTCAGCCTCTCCAAGTCGCTAGGATTACAAGTGTCTGCCAAGATGCTCAGCACTGTCATTCCCTTTTGTGAATAAAGGAAACAAGCTAGGAGAGGGCAAGTGGCTTGCCTAAGGTGACAGGGAGATATTGGACTCATGGTCTGATGCTTCATCCTGCTTATTAAGCCTGTTCCCTTCATGGGGGCTGCAGCAGGAGAGAGGGAGGAGTCATGAGAGGGAAACAGATCCAGGCAGAAGCACAAGTAGGCTGGAAGAACCACCTTTGTCCTCCCCTAACTAGGGGTAAAGAAAGGGGTTGACCCTGGGAGTACATATGGGCTGGGCACAGGACTCACCGCCAGGAAGATCTGCAGTGCGCTGCTGAGCGCTTCGATGTAGGGATAGTCAAGCAGGCAGCCAGTGACAGAGATGACGTGGTGGTCCTCCAGGGCCAGGCGGGAGTTCAGGACAGGGGTCACCAGGCAGCCTGGCCCGTTCTCCATCCACCAGGAGCGGTGCAGGGATGTGTTGAAGGTCATGATGAAGTCCCGGTCCTGGGGGCAGAGGGGCCTGGGACACTGAGTAGGGCAGGGGGTATCCTTTCCAGGCTCCACTTCACACCTGGACTTAGACCTAGAGCCTCCTGTTTGGTTTGTAAGGGAACAGAGAAGACTGAGCCTGCAAGTACACGTTTTGCCACTAGGTGGTGCTCGATGACCGTGTAGGCCTCATTTCCACTGAGAAGATGGAAAGAGGATCCTACAGGAGCCTCAGAACTTCAGAGCTCCAGACGGGACATTACCAATGACAAGGAACAATTCCCCAAGCATTGGTAAAACCCTTAATGAGACCCTTTCACAGCTGATGGGTTCTTCACTGTTCTCCCCATTGTTTGACCCTGGGCAAATCGCTCCTCTCTTTGATCCTTAGCCTTCCTATTTGTCACATGGAGAAGGGACTGGCCACGATCAGACCTTACCCAGGCTGTGCAGCCCTGGGTTCACTGATCTCGTACTCCTTCAGCCAAGTCAAAATTCACTTAGATGTGGGATCTCGTCAGCTACCACATGAATTTGGGATTGCTACTATCTCCACTTTCTAGAGGAAGAAACCGTAGTTCAGAGAGGACAAGCCATTGCCCAGAGTGACACTGCTGGGACAAATCACAAAGATGAAGCTCTTATTCACATATTTTGCCTCCTTCGTTTCTCAAAGTAGAAGTAGTGTCTCTCCGGGGTTGCTTTTCTTAAAGCTAGACAACCCCACTTTCTTTAGCAGTTCTTCACATAATAGGATCTGCTCAATTTTTCCTGAATAAACACAAACTACTCTGTTTCCCTCCTGAAAAATATTGAACAGCCCTGGACCTACATCTTTGTCTAAACAGTACAATGTGCATGGAATTTTCACCTCCTTTGCTCTGAATATTCTACTGCTATTTATAGGGCTTAAGACTACTTTCTGTGCCTGCACATGCTCTTGGTTTATACTAAGTTTGCGATCAACTGGGACCCTCAGTTGCTCTTCAGCCTTTGAGAAATGCAAAGGAGGCCAGAAACAAAATTTGTGTGTGGGGGCGGGGGGAAGGAGGGAAATGGGGTATCCAAATGGTTTGAGTGTGTAGAAGAGGGAGGGAGGTATCTTGAAGAGATGATGCTCTAGGTCTATACCACAGACCTGGGGTCAGGGATGGGAAGGGTCAGGTTCTGCTTTACGGCACTGCCCAGGCCTGAGGCTTACCTGCGACAGCTGTCCAACTTCCAGGTAGAAGCAGATGATGAACGCATTCCAGCCGACCCAGAGCACCAGCCAGGCTGCATACTGGGGAGAGCAGAGGTGGGTTCAGGTGGGGCCCAGGGCTACCTGAACACTGCTGCTCCTGCCTCTCCCCGAGCCTGGTGGAAGGGTTGCTGGAGCTGCCCTGTGGACCTGGGCCATTCAGGAGCAGTTACAGAGCGAGAACAGGATGCATCGACGAAGGGCCCAAGCCTTAGGGTGGCCCAGGGACCTCTCAGCCCCTCAGGTTCCCCACACCTCAAATGTGACCACTTCTGGGGAGAACAGTATCCTACCCGGGCCGCCAGCTATGGCAGAGCACAGAGGTCTGGGAGCTGCGGTTTCCAGGCCAGGCCTGGGCCTGCAACTCCAGCGGCTGCCCCTCGCAGACCTGGCTCTGCCTGTGGGGCCTGGGGCCATCCTGAGGGCTGGGAGAAGTGTTCCCGGTGCCAGCGACAGAGCTTTGTTAGGGCCCTGTTATCTGGCTCCTGAGAGCTGAGCCTGTGGGAGGTGGGGAGAAGTCCTAGAGAGTGAGTGGGCTTTGGTGACATTGCATGCCATCGTCATTGTAGGTACCAACAGGGTCAATTTCATAGGAAGCTTTTCCCTCAAGACAGCCATGTAAGGAGGTCACTGAGGATCAGCAGGGCACGTGGGTGAGTCTCACTGAAAGCAGGAGTTTGAGAGGCCAAGAGGAGGTGGGGGAGGGTGTTGGGGACACAGTCAGACCCCTGGGGCTAGAGGGCAGGGAGCCACTGACTTCAAAGCCACACTCGTGGCTCCAGTCCTTGATGAACATCAGTCAGCAAGGACAAAACCCAAGCCCCACAAAGCCCCCTCAGCACTCTGAGAAACAGCCTGAGGCCCATCCCTCCTGTGGCTGTCCCCAGGGCTTACGGAGGCGTGATGGGGCAAGAGCCTTGGTTCCAGACCTGAAGTTCTGATCCCGGCTCTGCCTCACTAGCTGTGTGACCTTAGGAAGCCTCATGACCTTTCTGAGCTTCAGCTTCCTCATCTGGAAAATGGAGATGGTAGGACACACCTCACGGGGCCCACGAAAATCTCAGTAGTGTGCCCGGTGCATGCTGGGTACTTGCTAAATGGAATATCTTGTTGATGCTGGGACTGTTTCTCTGGAAAATTCTTTGAGAAAAATATCAACCTGGTCTCTGAGCAAAGGTCCTTTGGGACCTGGACGTTCAGCCCCTCGGCGGTGGAGGCCAATGCCAGTCCATCTGGACCCAGGGTTGGAGGAGCAGGCAGGGCTGGGTGGACAGGGGTGAGGGCAGGGGCTGGCTCAGGAAGGGGCAGTGAGTCATACCAGGATGAGGTACCGGGAGCGGTACTGCACGGTGCCGAAGATGCCCAGGATGACGGCCATGATGTGCAGGAAGTTGGCCAGGATGGGAGCCCACTGGTAGCCCAGGAAGTCAAAGATCTGCCGCTGCAGCGCAGCCACCTGTGGGAGAGAGAGGCTGAGCCCACGGTGGTCCTGGCGAGGGAAGGTCAGACACGCCCCCTTGACCTGTGGAGCAGGTGATGCCAGTTACCATGGCGACGAGGCAAGTCTCAGAGACATCCAGCTCCTCAGTACCAGAGGGATGCTGGGAAGTGGGGGCAAATCTGTAGGAGCGAGGGAGGGGCCCCAAAGCCTGGTCATCACTTCGGGGTGCGCTGGAGGGAGGCAGGAGCCAGGATACCCCCACCCTGCTCAGGACACCCTCCCCACTGGGGCTCCAGCTCCTGCCCCTTCCCCACCTGGGAAGGCTGCTGGGGTCAGGGCCCAGGCTGCTCCCCAGCAGGTGAGGGAGAGGACTGAACCCCAGCCCTAGGGAAAGCCCGGAGTCTGTCACCAATTAGAAGTTGTCCTGGCCCACGGAATCCCCAGGCCGCAGAGAAGGGATTTTTTTTACTCCCCTTCCCTGAGGGAGCTATGGTAGATTGGTTGCTTTGCCCAATGAACTTCAGAAGATGACGCATGTGAAAGTTTGAGAAAGGAGTGCCCTGGCGCTTGCCCACCTGCTTCACTTGTAACAGAGACCACCCAGTGAAGGAGCCCGAGCTGACTTGATGGAGGACGAGGGTCACCTGCTGACAGCCAGTCACCCTCAGACACATGGCCCAGAGCAGGATTGCCCTGTTGGCCCGCAGAATCATGAGCTAAACAAAATGACTGTTTTAAACCAAGACACTTTGGAGTGTTTGTTATACAGCAAGAGCTAACTGATACACACAGGACTCGATGGACACTGCCTTTCAAACCCCCCACACACACACACACAAAATCTTTTAGGAACAGTCTTCAGGAACAAAGGTGCCTGGATAACTGTTATGTTTGACCCTGTCTGATGTCCCTTATTCAGGTGACAGAATCTATCTCTGTTTAGAGAGCTACCTCCCCCTGTGCTGTCCATGTGGTTTGGGGAGGGCTGACCCCATTTCTAGTTTCTGAGGAGGGCAGGTAACTCGGGCCTGGCCAAGTAATCAGACACCATGCTGGGCTCAGGGATGGCACTCACCCTCGTGAGCACTCTGGGTATCTGCTGGGACAATCAGGACAGAGCCGTTCTCTACCTGCCAGGATACCTGGATGGGGGATGGTATCAGCTTGGAGCTGTTGGTGGCCACCTTGCCACCCGGGAAGAGGCCTGTCTGAGGAGGAAGCCCAGGAGAAGGGTCAGAGAGAGTGTGGGAGGAAGATCCAAGGGCAAGGTCAGCGCCCGAGGCAATTCTCCCGCTGGCACTTCTGACTGAGGCGTCTGTTCCTGGCAGGGAGGTGGAGGTGAGCTGTTGCCACCACCCGGTGGTGAAGTCTGGGCAGAGACCAAGGAAGCTGCAGGCTTGGGCAAGGGCTGAGTGGAGCCTGGTGGGACCAGGACCAGCCTTGGCACTTTCTACCTGGAGCCAGCCTGTTTCTTGGTAGTCGCTCCCCTCCCAGGGCTCTGCGGAGTCTGAAGAGCCTTCCAAGTTCAGCGCTTGCTGGGCCCTCTCTGACGGAAAGGCAGGGCTGGGGTTATGCTCTCATTTTGAGGAAAGAGAACATGAGGCTCAGAGAGGGGAAGTGAATTGCCCAAGGTTACACAGCAGGTTGGTGGCAAAACAGGCCTTTCTGTGCCACCTGTCCTATCTTGGCACCACATCCCGCCCTTCCTGGTTGGCACTGGCTTGGAAGTCAGGGGGTGAGTGTTCCAACGGAAAATCAGCCTGTGACAGCTGGGTGACTTTGGGCAGGTCGCCTTCCCTCTTAGGTCTTGGGCTCATCGCCCACACAGCCTTTGGTGGATGAGATAATCCGTCCCGGATCTCGGTGGTCTGCCGAGCTTGGGGGCAAAACTCCACGGGCTCCTACCACGGTCTCCCTGCCGTTCCCCCTCCCAACCACTCCTCCTCCCCTTCCATGTTCCCCTTGCACCCGAGTCCGCCTGCGTCAGCCATGTTGATGACTGCTGTCCAGCTCGGTGTTGGACTCAGCTGGTACGTGGTCCAGGGGAGGAAGGTCCCTATCGGAGGAGGGCTATGACTGAGTTGCCCATGCTCACGGTGTAGCTGGGGAGACATCCTGCCCAAATATGTCTTGAGAGATGAGGTCACCCCTGACCCCTCCTCAAAACCCCTCTCTTATCAGTATTTGCTCATTAGCAGTGGCCTCACTGATATTATGAGCCTCATGATTTCTTTTGGTGGGTTTGTCTGTTTTGTTTTGAGAGCAGCAGCAGCTCTGGAGTCACTCAAACTCAGGTTCAAATTCCAGCTCTGCTGTGTGACTCAGGGCAAGTCTCTTTCCCTCTCTGAAACTATTTCTTCAACTATATATAGAAGATAATCCCTCCCCTGAGAAGTCACAGTGAGGATACACAGACATCCCATAAACTAACACAATTAGATGTGATAAATGGTGGCTAATTAACAGAAGTCTGAACAGTGTAAGCTTCTTAGTTTGGCCCTAAAGGCCCACGAGGATCTGCTGCAATCCTTTATTTCCTGTCAGCTCCTGCCTCCAGCGGCTGATGTGATGGTCAAGCCTCACCTGTACTTCCCTTTCCTTTAACCCCCTCCTCTGGGAGGAAGGCTTCCTGACTGGCAGTTGCTGCCCCAGCGCCTCAGCCTCCCTCCACCCTCACAGGCACAGCCTCATTCACCCACAGCCCATTCATCCCTCCACCGGGTGCCTCATGCACCCTCATCCATCCGGGTTCTTCGTCTGTGATGCATTCAGAACGCTTAGTCTGTGGCGGGCCCTGGACCACTGAAGTGAGGAACTCAGTCCTAGAGGAGGAGGATAGGAAGTCACTACAAAGCACACTGGTCAGTGCCAGAAGCCAGGCAGGCCTGGGGGAGACACCTGGATGTCTTTGGCCAGGGCTGTGGCTCAGTGGTAGCGCACTTGTCTGGCATGGGCAGACCCTGGGTGTGATGCCCAGCATGGCAAGGGAAACACATTAAGGTGGGAATGGTGGTGCACACCTATAATTCCGGATACTCAGGAGGCCGAGGCAGGGGGATCACAAGTTTAAGGCCAGCCTGGGCAATTTAGTGAGACCCTGTCTCAAGATTTTTAAAAAGGGCTGGGGTGTAGCTCAATGGTAGGGCACTTGCCTAGCATGTCCAAGGCCCTGGATTCAATCCCTAATACTGGAAAAAAAAATACATATATACATTCTTTTTTTTTTTTTTGGTACTTGGGATTGAACTCAACCACTGAGCCACATCCCCAGCCCTACTTTGTATTTTATTTACAGACAGGGTCTCACTGATTGGCTAAGCACTTTGCTGTTGCTGAGGCTGGCTTTGGACTTGCAATCCTCCTGACTCAGCCTCCCCAACTGCTGGAATTACAGGCATATATATATATATATATATATATATATATATATTCTTAAAAATCGAACTTGTGGCTGGGGGTATAGCTCAGTTGATAGAGGGCTTGCCTTGCATGCTATAAGGCCATGGGTTCAATCCCAAGCAAGACAACAAAATAAAAATAAAAAAAGTTAAGTATTGTATCCATCTACAATTAAAAAAAGATTTTAAAAAGAGTATCAATTCAAAAGTTTTATTATTATTATTCTCAGTGCCTGTGCAAGGTGGCAAGCACTCTACCACTAAGTGACATCCCCAACCCTTAAAAGTTGTTTTTTATTAGAAAACCATGTCAGATATTCCAGAACCTCTGCTTGTGTGGCAGAGCTATACCGCTAATTAGTAAGTACTGATAAGAAGAGAACAGGAGGACCATCTTCCCCATCTGGTCAAACCAGCTTAAAAACAATAATCTGAAGGATGTGATTGTAAATCACAGGCAGCGCGTGTGTCTTCCTTTGAGGGGAGAAATTGTGCAGAAGCTCCCTAGTCCTTTGCAAAGAATTCAAATGCATGTGCACCAAGAAAAAAGGCATCTTTGGGGGCGTCTTTACCTGGCCGGCATGTAAGCCAGGCTGAGCAGGCTTCTCGAATCTCTCCTAAGGGGGCCAGTAGCAAAGTTCCTTCCTAGGAGAGGGGACAACTCATGCAGAGGAAGGTGGGCCACCATCCCTGCCACCAGAGAGCTTCCACATGGTTAGCAAGTGCTCTCCCACCTAGCTATACCCCAGCCCACCCCGTGCCTTTTCTGAAATACAAATCTCACCCCAGACCTGCAGGATCACAAGCCTAGAAGATGAGTCCCTGGACACGAGTCCCAGAACAACAGGTGAGGTCAAGTCACTGTGGCCTGGCAGCCCTGCTGACACCTACAGGGTGAGCCCCTTACTCCTGCCCAGCAGTTGTCTACCCTTGATCTCCAGGAGGCTTGCACCGCCTGACCCTGGCCTCACCCCTTTCCTAGCACGTCCCTGGATCCTCACATGTTGCAGCCAGGGCCAGCGAGGCCTCCTGCTGTGAGCCCATTTCTCTTCTCTCCTCCCATATTCTTGGGGGTGCAATGCTCCCCACACTGCTCTCAGTATGCATGAAATGGCCCTGAGGTCCGGTCCTGTGGCATTGCACCTTTGTCAATTGCTGGCTCTTGACAACCTTGGGCCCCTCTATTTTCTTTTCCCAGGACTGGGATTGAACCCAGGGGTGCTCTGCCATGAGCTACATCCCCGGCCCTTTTTATTTTTGAGACAGATCTTGCTAAATTGCCCTGAACTTGTGATATTCCTGCATCAACTTCCTGAGCAGCTGGGATTACAGGTGTGGTCCACCAGGGCTGGCTTTGTCCCCTCTTTGAAAATGAATTTGGTCCCTGCATCCTTCTGGTTGGTTTTGACATCGACGACCACACCATCCAGCACCTCGGCCTTAGTCTCTCAGACACCTTCCCGTGTGTTACGGTGTGACTATGAGGTGTCCCCCAGAGCTCCCTTGTTAGTGCAGTGGGTGGAATGATCAGATCACGACAGGTGATGACACCGCTGATTTGATTAGCCATGACCTGATCAGTGGGCTAATCCATCTGGTGGATTAGTAATTTGACTGGACTACTGGGTGGTAACTGTAGGCAGGTGGGGTGTGGCTAGAGGAGGTGGTCACTGGGTCGTGCCCTGGGATTATACACTGTGTCCCTGGACCCTTCCTGCTCTCTCTCCTGGCTGCCAGGAGCTAACAGCGCTCCTCTGCCGCCCTCCTCTGTTCTGCGTCACCTCTGGCCCAAAGCGATGGAGTTGGTGACCGTGGACTGAGCCCTCTGAAACCGTGAGCCCAAAATAAACTTTTCCTCCTCTAAATTGTTCTTGTCAGGTATTTTGGTCACAGTGACAAAAAAAACCCCTAACATACCATGGCCTTCCCCTCCACTCGTCATCCTCAGCTGCCCTTTGGACCATGTCACCACCTACAACTGCCTTGTCTCTAATGTCCCCAATCCCACAGCCCCTCTAGGACCTCCCGGCTGGGTTCCAAACACCATTCAGGGTGACAGGTCATCTCATGCTGCTGGGACCCTGTGATTCCTCAGTGTAGCCCTGCCTGCAGCCCAGAGCTCGTCCTCCTCCACCTCGCCATCACAGCTGTCCAGAAGAGCCCACCGCTGGAAAGACCCAGGGACCAGGTTCCCCAGGGGCTGGACGGCAGCCCAGCAAGCTGGAGGGGCACTCAGGGTCCACTGCAGACCTGAACTCAATGGCTTCGAGAGGGTTCCTGGTAATCCCACTACCCGGCCAGGCCTCCCGGGGCTCTCCCTCCCATGACGGCTTCAGGCCCTCCCATG